AATATGATGGAAATAAAAACTTTCATTTATTTTTACTAAATGATAAAGACTTCATTAGTTATATTAAAGTAAAGATAAATCCGAGTGTGTTTATTACCTGCCTCCGGAAAAGAGTAAGGTGAATAAAAGTGCAGGCTTTGTGAGGTGGGAGCATTTTTTCCTTGCACCTGCCATCTTTTTCACGGTTCCCAATTCTTTCTGTGTTTCCTGTGCAGAAAAGTGCAAGCAGTTTTATGTTACCAGTGGTGGATGTGCTGCGTGGAAGGGCCTAAAAGGAATTTTAGGGACTTCTACTATCATCACATTCAACTTTTCCACTGCAGTGTTACTCTTTCAGTGAATAATGCTGAGGGCTGTTTATGCATGTGGCATCAAGTGACTGAAAGCATGAAAAACAGAATCACACAGACCTAGGTTTCTAATCCTCACTTCACCTCTTGGTTCTTGGGCAAGTTGCTTAATGTCTCTAAGCCCAGTTTCCTCATAAGTGAAAAATAATAATAATCATATGATAATACCACCTTTGTTTTGGAATTTTTATGAATATTAAGTAAGAGAAAGCACATAACACTCTCAGCACAATGCCTTGCATGTAATAAACACTCAGTAAATATTAGCTGCTAGTGTTAGTGATATAATAATAGTGTTTTTAATAATGTTACTTTTTTTTTTTTTAATTTTATTTATTTATTTTTCCCCCAAAGCCCCAGTAGATAGTTGTATGTCATAGCTGCACATCCTTCTAGTTGCTGTATGTGGGACGCGGCCTCAGCATGGCCGGAGAAGCGGTGTGTCGGTGCGCGCCCGGGATCGAACCCGGGCCGCCAGCTGCGGAGCACAAGCACTTAACCGCTAAGCCACGGGGCCGGCCCAATAATGTTACTTTAATATCATTGTTTGAAACTAAAAATGTTAGAAACCAAAGTAATGTTTGTAAAGTGCATAACAAAGTACCTGTCACATAATGAGTTTGATAAATGTACATTATAAGGAGGAAGAAGCAGATAGAGCATCTTACAGGTGTTGGAAGCTTAGAGCACAATCATAGTTACCACATTCCTCATAAAGTAATAATAGTAGTAGTAATAGTGATGATAATAATACTTAATGAGCACCTGCTGTGTGCCAGGAGTTAGTCCAAATGCTTTATCTATAGTAGCTCATTTACTAGTAAGAAAAACCACATGAGGTAGGTAATGATGTTATCTCTATTGTACAAGTAAGGAAACTGAAGCACAGAAACATTACCTTGACCAAGGTCACACATTTAGCAAGTAGGGCTTCAAAACAATATTTTGAACCCAGGTAGTGAGAGTAAGAGCTTTGAGGTTGGAGAATAGGCACAGGCCAGCTCATCAGGGCCCCACCGTGAGAATGGGAGGCTGTCGAAAGGTGTTGAACAGAGATGTGACGTGATTTCATGTACATTTTAACAGGATCACTGTGGGGCAGATCTAGAAGAGTCGGAGAGTAAGCACCAAACATGTGGTCCTGTCAGAGGCCCAGAGAGACACAACTTGACACAACTTACTGAAGTTTGTTCTACGGGTCCAGCGTTATGCAGGACTGCCATGTTGCACAAGTCTAGGAGGCAGCTTCTCATTGTCGTCCCTGTACATGGCATCCCTTGGAATTAAACAAGTGGAGGTCCACCTGGTGGTTAGTTTCACCTTTAGCGAGTTGAGTTGCAAGGCAAGGGTAAGGATCAAGGGACAACCTGAAGCAGCTGTGTAGTGATGTGTCAGTAGATTTCTGGCCCAGATGATCGCTGCTCACCTGCCGAAGTGAAATACGTAGACTCCCCTTGCCAATCCAGGGGTCATGGGAGTTTCCACTCAATGGCCAAGCGTGCCAGTTGCCAACGAGAGAAGGCACTGGCAATTTTCATTCATAGAGGAATGACAGAGTTTTCCTGAACGCTGCCAACCGACCGAAGGACATTTGATGAGTCTGCTGAACTTGTCCTCCTCTTCCTCTTTTGTGTGACTGTCAAGCAAAGCTATGATCCAGTTGACAATATAACATTCAGGTCATCAGTTCACTCTCAGAACCATCACATCCTTCCTTCAAAATCTTGGGGCAGGTTGAGTTAATGACAAGAAAGTGGCCGAGCTTTTAAGGCTAAGCGTGTCATTAAGCTGTAAGAGCAGTTTCAGCGAAAGCATTTTTGTGTTAAATTCAGAACCTGCCTCTTTTTACAGTTATATGACTAATTCTTTCCTGAGACATCAGAAATAAACTTTTTAGGAGACCTAAATGCTAGCTGCGAAAGAAGCACGTAGTCTAGAGAATAAACAAACCTCGGAGTCGTCTTGCTGAGACAGTCTCTTAGGCCCTCCTTTGCTGGCATCTCAGAGATTAAACTACTTCAGGACAGATGGCTGTCTCTTCTCGAAAATTTCCGGTCTAACTTGCTATATATGGCAGCCCCATCGATTTTTTTAAAAAATCACCCTGAAAGTTAAGGAAGTCCTCCCTCCATTCAGCTCACGTCTCTCAGGCTTTAATTTAAGCCACTTTCCTCTTATCTGGCCTTCTCTAGATATGGAGAAGAGCTGGTCAGCATCTTCCACATATAGGGACCTTTAATCAAGTTACTCCTTACTTGCCTTTTCTTCAGGCTAAACAATTCCACTTCCTTTAACTTTTTCACACAGGAATTATCCTCCATCACTTCAATCATTTTGGTTGGTCTTTCCTCAGACTGTCTCCAGAGGGTCTTTGTTAATTCCTCTCATCTAATTTTAAGAAGTTATTTTCGGGCCGGCCCGGTGGCTTAGCGGTTAAGTGCACGCGCTCCGCTGCTGGCGGCCCGGGTTTGGATCCCGGGCGTGCACCGACGCACCGCTTCTCCGGCCATGCTGAGGCCGTGTCCCACATACAGCAACTAGAAGGATGTGCAGCTATGACATACAACTATCCGCTGGGGCTTTGGGGGAAAAAAATAAATAAATAAAATCTTAAAAAAAAAAAAAAAAAAGTTATTTTCTCTAAGAAAATCTGAAACCTTCTTTCATTTTTGGTTGCATTCAGTTCTGATTTGGGTAGTCCTGTCAAGTAAGTACACATCGCTAGGTTGAGGTGATTTTTTTTATCAACACCTCCAATTATCTTCAACTGAGTGGGTCACGTTTGGACAAACAGTCCAATTTTCTTGTTTTTTCTGCTTTTATTGCCTTTCTCCCTTCACTGTAAATAAAGAAGGAACATCAGAAGGAAGAATGGGAAGAAAGGCAAATCCTAAATAGAGACCACATGAGTTGTTAGGAGAAAAGAAGTTAACGTGACTAGTAGAGAATTGGAATAACACTGGAATCACGGGCTGCTTTTGCTTTTAGGCTGTTTGAGAGACCATCCTCGTTCTACTACCTCCATGAAAAAACAGAAAAGGTTTCAGGGTTTGTTATCACTTTACATTTGAAGAGATTTGGATGGGAGGTGGAATGATACGTGAATCTGTATACTTAAATGATTTTTCTTAGCTAAAGTCGCTATATAAATTCATTGCTTTCTCATGCAAAAAGAGAGTGTTTCCTACTAGAAGCAGGTCATTTTCTGCATCATTCTCTGAGGCTGAGAAACACTGGGGTTAGTTTCAGGCCTCAAGATGACCATCCAGAAATCCAGCTAGTAATTCTCTTATTTATTTTATATGTTGCTGTTCGCTGCCTTCTGGTCCCCCAAAGCCTAAGGCAGCCACTCAATGCCTGCTTGGGAAGCATCTGTCTAACACCACTCACCTTGTAATTCTCTCCTGCAGAAAGCATTCTGATTTGGCATTCCAGTAGCTGATGGACCAGAGAGAGTTCATTCAGTTTTTCTCTTCTTCATTTTATTCTCTTCCCCCACCTCAAGGAGTTACTATTTTTGATGGCTGGGCATTTTAGATTATAGTCCATTTCTTTGGTGACAAGAATAACTTTGTGGTCCATTGAGAACAAATCTCTACCATCTAGCCCCTGCTTCATTCCTCTTATATAATAGAATGACTTTTTTTAATGAGCAGAAGGTTGAAGGCCACAAAAAATCCTTTTTGATGATAGAAATATGATACTGGAGTCCTGAATTTTTTTTTTCTTTGCTTTTCCATAAGAGTTGGTCAGCAGTTGTGTGGAAAATGTTTCTTAATGATATTAATAATAGTGATGGCAGCTAATCTTTACTGAGGGCTTACTAGGGGCTAAGTAATTCACATAGATTTTACTCTTTTCAACAACCTTATAAGACAGATACTAGTATTGTATCTGTTGTATAGATGAGGAACCTTGAGTTACAGAAAGCTTGAGTAGTTTAACCATGATTACCCATCTGGTACATGTTGAACTTGGGCAGTTTAACTTGCAGGCCCTGCATTTAGCAACTTCGTGACTTAGCAGCCTTGCTAAACTGGATCTCTAGTATTTAAGAAGATGCTTAGTAAGAATTAAATCACTAATATTTATTGAGCTCTTATGTGCCAGGAACTGTTTTAAGCGTTGTACATGGATTATCTCATTTAATGCTGACACAAACCCTATCAAGTAGATGCTGCTACAATTATCACCATTTTATTGAGGAAGAATAGAGGCTTAGAGAAGTTAAGCAACTTTCTCAGGGTCACGGAGTGGTTGACCCCTGGAGCTACAATTCCCACCCGTGCTGTCTGGCTCCAGAACCTACCAGTTTCACCAAACTCTCTCTGCTCCTTCCCATAAAACTAAAGGTCTGGCCGGGAGGGCGGGCACTGCAGAAAGACTGAGACTTGTCTGAGACACAAACTAAAAGAGTTCTATACATCTTCCAGGGAAGTGTTTCCCAGTCAGTCGGCAGGACAGAAACCACAGCCAGATAAGTCCGTTGGCAGTGATTCCAGCAGGCAGCCTGTGTCCTGCTGGGTTTGTCAGACTTGGCATCGGGCACTTCCTACCATTTTGTGTTCTTGTCACCCTCACCCAGCTTTGGATCACATAGCTTTTCTAATCGATGTTCTTTTTTCCTCCCTCCTCTGGTTCTCTGTTCAGCTCGAGGCTTTTTATTCCATCTTCACCACAGAGCAGCAAGACCACGTCAAGTCGGTTGAGTATCTGAGAAATAACTTTCGACCACAGCAGGCTCTGAATGACAGGATGGTGTCCAAGTCTGCCGTCCGTGACGCCTGGAACCACGACATGACAGACTTCTTAGAAAATCCACTGGGGACAGAAGCCTCTAAAGGTATATTTGGATTAAGTTAAGTGCCATTGCCTGGAGGAAGATTCCTTATCATAAATTACTTTAAATTAAAAGGAGTTCAAAGCCAGCCAAGAGTTGGAACTTGGTGTTAAGAGCATATGTTTCTCTGCTAAAAGAGACATGTCTGGGTGACAAATAGAAGCAGTTGTGGGAATAACTTCAGTTAAATAGATATGTTCAGAATTGCCCTTTTGATTAGTAATGTATCAGTCATTCTCTCTGTATCTTTACCTTGTAACGTCAACACCAGTTAACTTTTGGGTGTCTTACTTTTTAACTGTTTCCCTGTTGAGATCAGGAGTTTGGACCTGTTCCCAACAGCCTACTGTGCAGTCTTCTTATTAACATCCTCGCCAGGCAAGAACCCCATCTCCTCCAGCTCTCCACTCCAGCTAGACACCACGTGGCCTTTTAAAACTATTATTTAACAGTTTCATTCCCATATCTGATAAACAGAAGTTTATAAATTTCAGGCATCTTAATCTTTTCTATTTCTACTTTCTCGTGTGAAATGAACATGAATGACTCTCCCAGGAAACTAGAAAGTCTGATTCTACCCTTGCAGCCCTCCCTCAAGCTCTGCGATTTGTCATAATTGTGGTTTAGAACTCGGGAAACACTTAGAGGAATAAGGCTGATCAAAGTCCTAGTACTTAGAAGGGAGGAAGGAATAAGAAGGAATTTTCTTTGAGTGTGAAAAGATGGATCTTTCTCAAGCCAGTGCTCTCCTTCGAAATTATGAATTTGAGTAATATGGGAAGAGCTTGTGTCCTTTATCAACACTGGACGTAGACTGTGGTATTTTTAGCGTGGAAAGTCATTTGGGGAGGTTTTGTTTCAAGAGCGCCCCTGCCCCCAATAAAGAGACCAGTTTACTGGCATCTGACCTTTGTAGGAACTGGGAAATGAGATTCTATTCCACAAATAACTGCGGTGATGTGTACTTTGATGATAAGAGTGGGCCCATTTTCTAGGCTCGTATGTCTGAAGAGGAGCAAAAAGAAGAGGAAAGGGAGTTTAAGAATGTGACCATTTCCTTCCTATCTGTATGGTTTCATTTGAGGATGGTGAGGAAAGGCTAGTCTGGCCAGATTCCATCCATCGAGAAACGCTTGAGATTCAAGTAATTTGGGGCCGACACTTTGTCAAGGGCGTCACTTGTCAGCTAGAACAATGGGAGGGTCAAGAAGCACACGAACCTGTAAAATATCTTAGGTTGGGCTGGCATAGGAAACCTCACTTGGGCTAATTTTGTTTTTTTAACCAAGCTAAAAATAGAGAAAACGACCAAATTCGAAAGCTTTCTCCCAAGAGAACTTGCTTGGGAAAAGGAGGTTCTCTTAGGGATTGGCTGTTTCGTAAGAGGTGAATGTAGAGGACGTGTCCGGGATGAGGAATTTATACCACAAGTGAGCACAAGATCTGGGAGCTCAGAATTGCTGAGGTTATGACAGTTTCAGAGTTCTTTCCTGAAAAACAGGCTGAGCTTATGATATTTCAGCTGTGCAGAGAGAATGCGTGGCCCTCGTTACCTAAGAAAGTTAGAGAAGATCGTGGTTTCCGTTGCATTAATTTGTGAACGTGGGCGAGATCTTCCACTGAATGGGCTTTCTCTGAATTTGAGCAGAGCCGTGGACCCATCCTTAAATATAGGGAACCAGTTCTTCATCCTGCAAGGTTTTGTTGCAATTCTCATAGTGTCCATCGCTGACTCCTAAGATGTGTGTATAATAATGTTTTGTGATCTTTCTGGAGGCCGAGTTACAGGTGCAGTCTTATTTCTTTTTTAAACATATTATTGGAGTGTAACATATGGAAAAGTGCACACGTAATATGTGTACAACTTGATGAATTTTCACAAACTGAATACGCTTGAGTAACAAACACCCAGATCAAGAAACTAACATCACCAGCTTCTCAGGAGCACCTCCGTCTCCCTCTTCTTGGTCACTGTCCGTTGCCAAGGGTAACTACTACCATGAATTAGCTTTGTCTGTTGGTCATTAGATGATGGAATCATCTAATTTGTCCTCTTTTATGTCTCACTTCTTTTGCTCTGCACTGGTTTTGAGGGTCATCTATATACTGTTGCATGTAGTTGTAGTTTGTTTTTTTTTTATTGCTGAATTTCCTTGTGTGATTGTACCTGAATTTATTTATCCATTTCAATATACATGAATATATGGATTATTTCCATGTTTTGATGATTATGAAAATTCTTGAACATACCTTTTAATGAGCATTTGGACACATCTCTGTTGGGTGCACACCCAGGAGTAAAAGGACTGCAGCCTAGAGTACACATATCTGTTCAGATTTGGTTAGATACTGCTCAGTAGTTTCCCAAAGTGATCATATGTACTTCTTTGCACTTCTGCCAGCAGCATATGAAAGTTTTCTATTTTTTTGCAGCCTTTTTTTAAGGTGTAATTTACATACTCTAAAATTCAGTTGTTGTAAATGTACAATTCAATAATTTTTAATAAATTTATTGTTGTGCAACCATCACCACAATCCAATTCCTTCATGCCCATTTGCAGTCGGTTCTTTCTTCTGTCCTCAACTCTAGGCAACCTCTGATCTGTTTTCTCTTTCACTTGGTGTTAGGATTTTAAGATCTATCCATGTTGTAGCATGTATTAGTAGCATTCTTTTTATTGCTGAATTGTATCCCCATTTGCTTTTTTTTAATAACAGCTTTATTGAGATTTAATTCACATACCATAAAGTTCATTCTTTTAAACTGTCCACTTCAGTGGTTTTTAGTATATTCACAAGTTGTGCAATCATCACTGCTGTCTACTTCCAAAACATTTTTATCACCCCCGGAAAGAAAGTCCATACTGATTAGCAGTCAATCACTCCTTGTTCTCTTTCCCTTTCCTTCTCCTGTCCCTCACTCCTCCCAGCCCTAGGCAACCACTAATGTACTCTCTGTCTCTATGGATGTGCTTGTTCTGGATAGTTCATATAAAAGGATTCATACAATATATGGCTTTTTGTCTCTGGCTTCTTTCACTTATCATCATATTTTCAAGGTTCATCCATAATCAAGCATGTATCAGAATTTGATTCCATTTTATGGCCAAATAATATATCATTGTATGGATATGCCACATTTTGGTAATCCATTTATCAACTGGTAGACATTTGAGTTTTTTCTACTTTTTGACTGTTAAGAATAATGCTGCTGTGAACATTCATGTTCGAGTTTTTGTGTGGACATATGTTTTCAGTTCTCTTGGATATAAACCTAGAAGTAGAATTGCTGAGTCATGTCGTAACTCTACATTTACAGTTTTGAAGAGCTGCCAAACTGTTTTCCAAAGCAGCCGCACCAGTTTACACTCCCATCAGCAGTGTATGAGGGTTCTAATTTCTCCACATCCTCACCAACACTTGTTACACATCTTTTCTGTTTTAGCCATTCTAGTGGATGTGAAGTAGTATCTCTTTGTAGTTCTGATTTGCATTTCCCTAATGACTAATGATGTCCCTATTTGTTTTTAAATGCACATTTCATGGAACCATGGTCCACGCGACCAAATGCTCCTCCTTTTTTTCCCCAGGAAAACTCAGGTAATTCCAGAGCACTGTAAGCCAAAAACCAGCTACAGGTGCTGGCAATCATCTGGCAGCCTGGACAGCTTAGGTTATTGATCTTAGACATCTAAGCAGTAAAGAGCCAATACAAAGGAGGAGTCCCTTTCTCTTCAGTCTTCTGCAAAAAAAGATTTCAAAAAGAGAAGGATGGTATTCTGTAATCTTCAGCTAATTCAAAAAGAGCAAAGCCTAATTGGTATTTTCTACCTGAACATTACTGGAAGCTTTCAGTGCCTAGGAGAGCTATGATGTTGAGCATGGAGCTATACATTTATTGGGCTATTGTCACAGAAGAAAGAAAAATAAATCAATTACGTAGGACAGGAGTCAGTAAACTTCTTAGTTTAAGGACCAGGTAGTGGGCCACATGGTCTCTGTTGCAGCTACTCAGTTCTGCCACTGTAGCTGAAGGTAGCCGTAGACAATCTATAAATGAATGGGTGTAGAAAACGTCTTCCAGGGCCGGCCCTGTGGCTTGGTGGTTAAGTGCGCGCGCTGCGATGCTGGTGGCCCGGGTTCGGATCCCGGGTGCGCATCGAGGCACCGCTTCTCCGTTCATCCTGAGGCTGAGTCCCACATACAGCAACTAGAAGGATGTGCAGCTACGACATACAACTATCCACTGGGGCTTTGGGGGGAAAAAATAAAATAAATAAAATCTTTAAAAAAAAAAAAAAAGAAAAGAAAACGTCTTCCAATAAAACTTAATTTATAAAAATAGGTAGCAGGCCAGATTTGGCTTGAGAACCATAGTTTACTGACCCCTGCTCTAGGGGATGGCTCAAACTAAAATGGAAGCTAATCATAGGCTTGCTTTAAGGTAAATATTTTCTGTCTTAAAGATGGTAGCGGCCATGACTGTGAAAGTGTCCACTGGCTAGTTCTACTTTCCCATTCTACTACAAGACCCGAGGACCAATCAGAGGTTTGTTAACTTAGTAACCAACCACTCACCAGTTCACCTTAACACCTGGTCAACTTTCACACCAGAAGTGCAAGCACAGCCTCAATGGACTGAATATAAGCACCCCACTTTACCTCATTCCTTTGGCTGAGATCATTAAGTAATGGTCATTGAGCAGCACTGTGGGGGATGCCTGAGTTAATGTGCCCCCACCCTGCCCCTCTGTCAGCATGATTGGATGGACTGGAATAGAGAAAACAGAATCAAGCCTTCCAGTGCCAAGCACAAGATGCATGGCCATGCAAGACACCAAAGGAAAGGGGGGAAAAGTCATCTTAATATTGTATTCTTGCTGAAGAAAGACTTATAATGGATGTCATCCGTAAAAAATATGAAGCTTTAGTTCCAGTAAATGGAAACAATATTTAGGCTTGGTGGATTGTTCAAGGGACATCCAATTTGCCACTCTGCCCTT